TTCTTAATTGTAGGCACAGACTCTAAAAATGACTGCAGGTTTCGTTAGGCAGGAAACAGTCACGGAGGTTTGAACTTTAAATCATAATTAGCTGAACTTTTAGTCTGACTGAAAAGATTCTCCAAGGAAAACCCCTATTTCTCTCAGTTGCCATTTCACATTACTGCCTGCAAAGTCATTCATATGACAAGCTTCTCTGTCGTCCTTTGGGTGGAGTTGGCTCCGGCAGCTGCAGCAAGGGAGAAAAATCACAGCCAGCTGCTACTGATATTACTGCTGATGCCACTGTAGGGGAGGCCTGTGATTTGGCGGGGAGGAAACTGATAAACGATCAGGACTGACACAACCCTCTCTGCCACCAGTATTAGCAGCCATGATGGTCACTGATAATTACAGCATCTGATAGCTTTGGAATGATTATTACCTCCCTGGGAGTGCGAGACAACTGCATGTTAACAGCTGATGAACTCCTGGTCTAGTCTGGAAAATGCCTAGCAGCTATGCCAAGCTGGCTTCAGATCTGCAGTTGTCAATAACCCGTGGAGAACAGGTAAACCACCAGATATATCACAAAGAAACACTTACAAGTAAAGGCAAAGAACAAAATAGACTGTGTATGTGGGATTTACTTGGTAGCAACCACGATGTATGTATCAAGAGATATGTTGGTGACAAATCTAACCTCTGTCTCCCTCCTCTCACTTTGCCAGCCTTTGGTTAGAAGTTTGAACTTCTCTAGTCTAAAAATTCAATTCAGTGCTGAAAAATGAAATTTCATAAAGCATGCTCTCATTTACCAGCTGCTGCTAAAATACCACGTGTTTTGAACATCATGAATTGTTCTAGTACAATGTTGTATTGTTTTCAAAGTAAACAAGATTATGGTGGTCATATATGTTTTGTGATTATCCTCTCTGTGAAGTTACAGTTCACAGGTAACTATGTACATTTAACATCGGTCCTGGAAAAAGCAATTTTAGAGGACAGTTTGGCAGAACACCTTCCCTTGCTCTCTCGCATAGGGTTCTCTAAAAAAAAAATAAAATATCAGTGTTTTGTGGAATGGAATACATGTCATATGAAGTTGAGAATTATCATCTTCTTCTTGAGAGTATTTTCAAACACTTATCCATTAGTGCAGAAACAGAAATGTGAGGCAAGAAGACCAGAAAGCAAATGGAAAAGCCTTCTTACAGCATCTCTGGAATTCAAAAAAAACCCCCTTTTAAGTTCTTAGGCTGACTTATCCCCTTTACATCATATTTTCCCTGCTTCTCTACAATGTGTTCCACTACCAGTCAACTACATTCAGAACTAAAATTACCCTTTTATCAAAGAAGAAACAGTTACTAGAGGTCTTCTACACCATATTCTTACCCAGTAGCACAATCACCAATACCCAAACTGTCCTTTAAAGGTGTTTATCTCATCTGTCCTTATCTAATCTGTCCTTAAAAACAATGTCTCTCAGCAACCTATTTTCAAGCCTAATTACTGCTGCTGTCTAGCCACTCCCTCTGAACACCATCTCTTCAATATCACCTGGCAAGAACATTGCTATCTTCAGTGTTTTGCCCTTTGCTTTTTAATTAACACATATCCCACAGACCTCACCACAGCATTTTCCTCCACCATGTCAGCAACGCAGTTTTTACTTTTTCTAACTTTTCATACATCTATAGGCTCCACTCCTGTTATACATTAAATTGATTGCTGCTGCTATCTTTTTTTATTCCTCATTTATTTTCCCCTGTTCCTGACAGTCGCTATCCAAATTAGTGGAAATGTCTGCAGAGGTTTACACTAGGTTCTTGCTTGGATACATTTCAGATTTCTTCTCTAACTTAAATTCCTCAAGACTTCATGCTCTCTATATAACCAATTTTAGTTGATTCCTGCAATCCACCACACTCCTTGCCACGCGATACCTTTGAGATCTACATTTTTCCTCACTATATTTTCCTGCTCTCTTCCAGAAGTTCTTTCATTTGAAATGGCAGTTGTACTTCAATGAAAGCATTTTTTACCCCTTGATTAAATTCTTGAGAGCCCATCTTTTTTACAAGTATTTTAGCAGTAATGAGCTCATGATTCTCTCTGCTATTTATACCTGTCTATTTGCATCTCAGGACATCTCATCCTGCTGTCACGTTCTTGCTACAGTAGAACTTCATGCATGTTTAGGTGCTAGATGAGTAACTGCAATATTAATATGGTCTTCAAGTCCTGGCCTATGAAAGTCATGGGAACTGTTCTGGAAAGAAGGACACACAAGGCATGGGGGAACATTTCATTTAACCTTGGCTAGAGCTACCAGTGGTTTTAAAAGCATTTAGTTTAAAAAGTTCTTCCTCAATTGTATGATGCTGTCTTTCCTCATTAAGCCTTTCTCTGACTTCCTGTTTTCAAGGTAATGGCTCTGCACTGTGGTGAACATCAGTAACTAAAGAATCAACAAGGATTTCTCCAAAGACTGCAAGACAATCCTCTGCCATGGTTTGTTGGCTCTGTGTCTGAGAGTATTTCCAGTGCAGGTATACAACCTTTCCATTAAACAATGATGGAAGTTCAAGTGAACTTTAATAAAGTCTAGTTACTTTGCAGCTTTTTGGAAAATAGCCAAGATACACACTGTAGGGACTAAGTGAAAATAAACTAGTACAAAGAGCTTCTTCAAACTGCTTTATTTACAAATTTACATGATGGATACGTAAGTCAAGAGGCAAGCAGGTCCCTTCCTTTGTGACTGACTGCTAGCGAGCCTTACCTCGTACTGAGACCCTGGCAACCTCTCCAGTAGTTAAGCTGCTCCCTCCCACTGGTGGACTCATTCTCCCTCTTTTCATCTCATGTTTACTACTACTTCTATTCCAGCTTCTTCCAGTTTGGGGGTCAAAATTTTAGGATTTGTTTTGTGTTAATCAAGGAAAACCTCACGAGGAACATTTTTACAAACACATAATGCTCATAGGGGAAAAATCTCCCCCAGAATCATCATTAATCAAGATGTCAGCATCTATATCCTCCTGGATCCAGACTCCTTAGACAAGAAAAGTCACATCACTACCATGAGTATACCTCATTCACATGTCAGTGACCGTACAGAACAGAAGAGCACAGAACTCAGGATGAATAAGTTTTTCAGCGGCTCTCTATGTCTCATCTTTCCTTTAGTAATCACATTAACAGTAATCCCAGGTCCTTTCTAATTTTGCCAAATTCTGTAGTAAAAGAATCAAAATTCCAATTCAGGAGCAGATCTGAATTTTGTCTTCAAGCAAGGTGTTTCTCAACAGCAACGGCCACTACTCTATGATACACAGCAAAGTCACTGGTTTAAAAATGAAAATAAACCCACCATCAACTGCTGTTTTGAAGTCATTACCGACTACAAAGTCATGCTGGAATGTACCGCTTACCAACTAAAATATATTGTAGCTATAGTATAATCCCTTTCTAAGCCACTAAAGAAACTTCCCTGTGGGGCGTATGTGAAGTTTGACATACTTTTTGTAACTATGCTGAAGCCTAGATGATGGGGGTTTCTGCTATGTCTCACTGTAAAAATGCATTACTCCCAGAGTCAGTGCAGACCCTGCTTCTTTAGACCGCTCCTGGCAGCTCATAAAAGCAGAAATCAGTTGAGCAGGCAGTAACCATATAATTATAATACAGCATACAGACTTGGCTCAAGCCAAGGTTTTAAACACATCTCAGACATGCTTTATTTGCCTATGGTACCCCTGCCCTTTCTCTAAGGGCTTTATCCATATACCTGATTTTAGCGAGAGCATTTTGGTACAATGGACAGATGATTTTAGAAAGAACAGCAATGAGGGTTCTTCAGCTCCCACAGAAGCACTGGGAACTGTTGGCTCTGACACACCCTTTCCCAGCCCAGCAGCACTGCAACCATTACCGAAGTATACACTGCTGCTCAAGCAAATAAGATATATATTTACTATACACACACACACACAGCCCTTGGGTGACAATGGCCATGAAAAATGTATTTTGTTAGACTCCTGGAACCGATGAGTAGAAAAATAATGTAGAAGCGTAATTGTTATCCCTAACCACAGAATGCCCCAAGGCAGTTGCTGTCACAGTGAGAGTCTGTTAAAAGCATGGCCATTTCCCTCAAACACAGTTGAGCCTGTACCACGTGAAATTTCAAAAGCATTTTGTCATTTTGGATATACAATTTTTGTTTTTTTCTCTTAATTAACATTTCTTTCTTAAATACAAATATTTGAAGCAGATAACCAAGCTACAGAAAGTTAATTGAAAAACAACGGAATTTTGTGGTCACTTCTAACCCCCTTTGTCCCAAAATCTTGCCAGTCAACCCCAAAGAAACCTTAGGAAATCAGAAACAAGCATGCTTGGCATAAAAGCACTCCAAATTTCAGTCACAGATCACTGCAGTTTTGCTTCTGTTCAGCAAGGCTGTGTCCAAATGCAGCGTGTATTAGCTGTTAGTTCAGCCCGTGTAAACACAAGAATGCAGTTGTCGTATGCTGGGGGGGGGGG